ATTCTGGGAGTTGAAGTCCACTCATCTTAAAGTGGCCAAGTTTGGACAACACTGACATATGGGGTTGACAGTTGTTGTGGCCCAAAACAACAGTAAAATTCACAGGGAAAAGTTCCAACCATGGCAATTACTTTGTAATAGCTAATACAGCTTCTGTGCACAGCGGCATTTTACTTCTGGGTATGAGATGTTGAAGATTAACAGAGAGGGAAGACTGTTGTTCCTTCCATATGGTGGGAAAGCAAATTCTCTTTCCATGGGAATGTCCATTTGACCTGGGTGGATTTAGAATGCTGGGGGTGGCTGTGGAGCCCAGGCCAGTGTTTATGGCCATTCTCAGGCCTCCTAATGAGTTTATGAACCGAAATGAACTGTAATGACAAGTCTATGGTTGTGAAAATTGGTCTCATATTGTCTGCTATAGTTGTGTTATAACCGAGCCATTAGTTTTATGGCTAAATAATATTTACGGTATTTGGATATGTATCCTTTAAACCCTTTGTATGTTTCTGAAGGGGATATTTTAATGGTCTTGCTATGGCCTGAACACTGACAACATAATAGGAAACAGGACTACAAGGGGTTTACTCCAGGCTATGACCTTGATTCATCTTGCAACCTTTGGTAAGTCATTTAATGTCTGTGAAATTCAGTACATTCAGTGGCAAAACTGATCTGTTAGAAGAAAGCGGGGGGAGGGCTGAGTCTACACCTACTATTAAACTCCCTGGAATGACTAAATCACCCACAATACATAATAGCACTTTTCTCTCCTGTGTCCTATCCTAGGTATGACGTTTAATTCCAGACTTGGAATACCCTAATTCTTCTTTTGACTAGTGGAAATATAATTTCATTTTGAATTCAAACTCATTCCAAAGCCATGATGGAAAGAGATCTTCATTAAAAAATAATGTAGGACAGCCATCTTAGTTTATGATAGCCAAAAATCAGGAGGAGTCTGGTAGCACCTTTTCAGACTAACTCATTTTATTAAAAAGCATAAGCAAAATTGGTTAGTCTGAAAAGATGCTACTAGACTCCTGCTTCTGACCATTAAACTCAAGTAGCCATAGTAGGAAAAGAGTAACTTCATTAATGGTGTTTGCTCCATCCAAATCTTGAAAGATACAGAAGGTTTTTTTCTTCCCTGGACACATTTTTGCTTCTTTTTCCCATGCAAGAAAGAAGTTCCCCTTAGAATTTCCTTCAGGTCAAGGTCCACCTTGTGAAAAAGGCTGTTTCTAAATATAGCCCTGGTCAGTCAAATTCCTTAGGTCATTAACCTCTCACCTCTAATCATCTTACAGTGTAGCTTTAGCTCAGCATTATGTAATTGATCATTAGTGAAATGATGTCCTAGAGACTTGAAATTCAATTATTTTTGTAGCTACAATTGTGGCTGAATTTAATGCTTTATTTTGTTTTGTATGGCTTTGTAGGTTGAGTACTAATACTGCATTGCACATTTCCTAAAAATACTAATTGAAATTTAAAGTGTTAATTTTGTAGGTAGTCCTATATCATTATATAACCATCATAGTAATTTTTTTTTTAAAAAAAAAAGAGCACAGTACTTTAGGTTTTCAGAGGCATACTCACATAACCTTTGCCATTAATTCTTTCTTTATGTGTGTTTTAAAATAGAGTAAATCTAACTTTTGGTGATTTAACTAGCTTACACAAACAAATCTAAAAAACACCAACAAAGGCAGGAAAAGAAAAATTCTAAAAAGGATTTGATCCAGATGAGCAGTAAGGGAGACTGTGAAATTCCATACACAAACATGCTTGTAACTGTGGTTCTATTTAGGAGAAATCTTGGGCATCTTAAGTCTTTCTCTTTCCCCAGCCTAGAAGTCTGGAAGAAGAGGAACATTCAAAGGAAGTGGTGCCATGGAAAATTAGAAGTGTTTCGGGAGAATAAGTAGTGGCACACACCCTTAACTCACAGGCATTAAAGGCACCTCCCTGTTTTTTTGGTCCTGTGAACCCAAACAGTCTGAACCGGTTTACACACTGAAAACATGGGAAGGTGCACTTACTTCTCCTCTATCATCTGCTTTTGATACTCCTCGTATTCCTCCCGGGTCATTCCTGCCGCCGTAGCTGGGTCAGTAGGGGCGGCTTCCTCCTTCTTTTCTTCGCCCCCTCCATGAAGCCCCAGATTTTTCACCTGGTTACTCAGCACGTTTTTCATTAGGAAAGCCATGTTCTCGTCTTTTTCTTTTCACCTTTCCAAATGGGAAAACAAACCCACACCACGAGGAAACCCACAGAGACACGGGAAAAGAACGCACCAATCAATAAATGAAATTTCAACAGCCCTGAGCCGCTCTTGTAAGGCACCGTATTAGGGAAAACTCTATGCCAAAAACAGTTCGTCAACCCTAATCTGGATTAAGGCAGTGCACTCCTTAGCAGCCAGAGGCAGATGGTTCAGATTACCAAGGGGGAAAAAAATCATTAGATTTTGTCTTTACTTTTTTATTAATACCTTAAGCTAATTTTTATTCTTTCAAGGGTGGGGTGGGGTGGAGGAGAGAGAGAGATGAGAGACACTGAGATCTAATTTTTTCTTTTGTTCTGACACATTCAGGCATAAAATAAGCAGGTAATGGCTCCATTGTTTGAATTCTAATGGTTAGACTTGGTTGATTATGTGAATTTTGTGGAACCAGGTCAACAATAAATCAGGTTAGATAAACCAAAGGGATTTGAATGGTTGTGGAAGGAGCAGCAAGAGTCTTCCTTAAATGAGAATCAATCCTTTTATTCACGGATATTGTTTTGTCCCACTGAGCACCGGATTTCCTTTCAGTCTGTTTTTTCCAGACTGCCGAGTGGTTTGACCGGTGATTGGAAAATAATACCAAAATTACACTAGAGCAAGATCCTACATCTCTCAATAGTGGTGGTGTGTAAAGATTTAGCACGCATTCTAGGATTTCATTAATGACAGCTAAGAACCACTCTGGAGGTCTTACTGCAATCACTTCCTATTTACCATATTCTCCAGGTCAGATCAAGAACATCCTTTATCCTGTCAAACTCAGTGGCTGTGTTCATGTGATATATTGAACCACAAACTAGCCAGTCATACTTTAACCTATACTGTTAAACCAGCCAGTGTGGTTTGTTTACAGTCTGGGATCTTATGCAAACCTTGAAGATTGGATGGAGCATGGATGGAGCAAAACAATGGTTAACCATGGGTAATCAAGTCATATGAGCACAGCCACTTGGATGGGTTCAAGGTAAGGCATTGTGGGAGAGAGATGTGAGACACACCATTGTGTGACCCAATTCTCATAAATGGGGATTTTTAATTTGTAGTTGGAAATAGAGGGTTTCTTGATTGAAAGCAAGGCACGTGCAGAACAAATACAGAGAAATTATGCCGCCCAACTCCCAAAATGAAAGCGTTCTACAGTTCCTACTAAAAACTCATTTGGAGGTCACTTAAAAGACAGTTCCACCAGAAGCCATCACCTTCTCTTCCTCAGGCGAGCCAATCCCTTCCCTCTTAACAGTACTTCTCTATCCTATCATGAACAAATGATTTCATTACAATATTTAAATGGAAAAATAAAATCAAATATGGGGAAAATGGGTAATAAAGTCACACTAAAATCAATCAGAAAATTAGTTTTCTCAAAAGTATTCAACTGAAAGGAATAATTAATGGACATCATTTATTGAAGACACTGTGTCGTTTACTTACAATTCCTCCAACACTATCTAGAAAGATTTAAACTAATATAATGTAGTTTTAAGGACATGCGGTATAATTTCCAAATTATTTTTAGAGTAAATTCTTGATGACTCAACAAAATAGATTAGAAGGGAGTTTTATACAGCAGAGTAAGTTGAATCTTCATGTTCAGATCTCAAGTCCTCTTATGTTTAAAAAACTTTCAAGACAGCCTGTTGCATTTACCCAAAATTTTGTACAACATTGACATTGTCCCTTTGATTTTAAATATTCTTTAAATATGGTCAGTGTTCTTAGTTCATGAAATCTTACAAGCTTAAAATGAATGTACTTGTTCCACTTGAAACCAGTTGGAACTTAGGAGCAATTCTTCCACAAAACAGTCAAACAAAAGGTGATTTTTCATTAATAAACAAACATTTGATAGGAGTTTTCTCAATGTTTTGTAGGATATTCTTTAGAATCAGAGTTATGGCAGAACCACTGTGTTTATGTCTTTTTAATGGACTATAAAAATCAGGCTGTGTAGGACTTAGGATCTGAAAAGGCAAAAGCTGCATGGGAGTATGCAGGGTGCCCATGTGGCATCTTTTGGCTACTCTTTAAAGCAGCCATGTCTTTTCATGGAATGATGCAGCTACCCTCCACAGCTGCAGTGCAGTTCCAGGAAAAGATGCATTTGGTTTAAGAGTTGCTGACAGGTAGGGGCGTCAAGAGCTGTGTCAAAAAATATGATGCCCACAACCCCTTCTAATCCAAACAGCAACCTGGCCCAGATAATAATGTACTATTAAATTGAATATAGGTTAACTATCTGAGTTCTTTTTATGTTGAATGAGCTTCCCATGGGTCACCATTACAACAGGGCACACAGGAGAAGTCATCCTTGGCCGATCCTTTTAATGCACTTCAGTACATTAATTCAGTACAGTAATGAAAACAAATTCACTCCTTAGTATAATAATTTGTTAACCAGCAGGAGTGGACTTTCATTTTGGGAACAAGACTGAAGTAATCACAAAGCAGCTTTGATTCTGCCTTTTTGAACTGGATTTTTATGTGCTTAAAGAAGAAAGGAATCACCTTGCAGGTTCTACCAATACACACTGCAACATACACAGAGCAAAAGTAGCCAACTTTTCTGGGCCAAAAGATACCTTTGGAATGTTGAGAGTGCAATATGTATGCGCACCTAGTATTGCTGCTCAATGCTGGAGTGCAGCCAATCACACAACATCCAAATATTGAGTGGCACACTGGTAAAACTGCCCCTTGGCATCTCTCTAGCCCCAGAGAATGTTTATCATCCTAGTTCACTTTCAGGGTTTGGGTAGGGAGGGAGGAAGCATATTTCCAAGCAAAGCGCTGGGTACCGACAAAGAAGCTTCATGTGTGGAAATGCTGAGTCTGAAGAAGGGGCAGTTTGGGCACTATTCCCACGGAAGTGGTGAAAATCAAATGTCAGTCGGAGATTTTTCAGTATCTTGGTCTGGATGGAACGTTACCATCTTCTAATTTGCAGGCAGAGGATTAGAAGTTAGACAAATAATCTGAAGAGTAAATTAATGGTCTTCCTTTCTTTTGTCATCAGCATGTACCTTTGCAAAATTACAAACTTCACCAAAATTTCCTAAGTATAACTTATTTATTCAAATAAAACTCTGATTTATTTAGATGTTTTAATCTGGAAACAAATAGAACAGTGCTCTTCAAAAGCATACAAGAGTTGGCAATTACATTTCCAAAGTTTCTGTGAAAAACTGTACATTTTACCAGCAGGTGAACTGTATTTCTAGTTAAGAGAATTCTGCAGTCATTGGCTTTCTATCAGGGTTTTGTATTTTTGCATATGTGTCTGTGTGTGTGCGCGCGCACACACACACATGCTTTTGGGTAGTCCTGGCTCCTGGCGACTGCCTGGACTAGTCCCTGCAGTTTTCTTGGCAAGGTTTTTTGGAAGTGATTTGCCACTGCCTCCTTCCTAGGGCTGAAAGAGAGTGACTGGCCCAAGGTCACCCAGTTGGCTCAACTAGAACTCACAGCCTAGAGACTAGAACTCACAGCCTCTCAATTTCTAGCCTGGTGCCTTAACCACTACATCAAACTGGCTCTCTTCTATCACCTTTACTGTGTCAAAGTTACTAATGTTCAAAGTTCAACATCACTCCTTTTTTTTCAATCCTGCTGCAGAATGCATCAATTCACAATGCCTATATCAACAATTTTGTGAAGATTAAGAACACCAATTCTGCAATCTCACATTGTGCATGATGGGCCCGTAAAATAGTGTTGATTGCTACCATAATGAAAAGGATGGGCAGATCACAAAATGTGCATGCTATCTCTACTGAACTTTAAAATGGGACTAGAAATGTTTAGTTATATGCCACACAGGGCTATAGATGTGCGAAAATGCAAGTTGTGAGGTAACAACCTTTCACAAGTGCGTGCATTGTATGTATTTGCTGGGACCATGAGGGACCTTGTATTGGAATCTGTCCACTCTGAGTGAAGGTGAAAGCTGTAATTACTGCTAAGAGATTAACTCCAGTCTAACAATGCTTCCGAGTTCAGCTCCGTCCCCTCTGAACACAAGATACAATACCACCAATTGCTTCAATATTTTAATTCTCAGCTTGGTAGATTCACATTACGTCAAAAGAAAATATAGATGTTTATCTACAAGATCTGCATCCTGACCCAAGCATATTCCAAGAAAAACAACACAACAGAATCCACCTTTTTCTGCATAAAAAAAGCAGTGTCTTCTTGAGTGAAAGTTCAAATCTCACAAACCCTTGAGTCGTAGGTCATTTTTACAACATACATTTGGTTTTTATTTGTCCAAGGCACCTGTAAAAATATTTGCTGGTGTGACACAGAATGGATAATGGCCCTTTTGAGTGATCTTGGTTGACAAAAATAAGTCTGCTTACTTGTCCTCAATTGTGAGTTGCAGAAAGGTATTTTGCAGTTACATGGTTTCAAAAACTTGATGGAAAACTTTCTGTTTATAAATCCTAACATAATGCTACCAGTATCTTCCAAGGGAGAGAATTGCATAGATTTGTTCTGTTTCTCAGATTTGCAAACAATGCCTTCAACGTATGTAATACTAGATAGAGTGGACATTGCTTGCCTTTCAATATTTTAAGTTTAGAGGAATTTGAACACTTAACGATATTGGAAAGCTATTCCATTACAAATTCCAGGTGCATAAAAATGAAATGTCAAGTCAGCACTACAAGCGCAAGACACAGGTGAGAGTAAATTCACATTTGCTGTTCCGGAACTGCCTTAAGAAGGATTACATAATAAACGCAGGTAAGACATCAGAATACTTGCGGATTAAGAACAATACTGGTTCAGTAAAAACAGGAGAACAAGCTTGGATTTTTTTTAACAATGCCATTCGGCGTATATACACAATACTCCTGGCTTTGGAGAGGACCATACCACTTTGAAGAATTCAATGCAAGGTCAGTGTGATTTGTAAT